TGTCGTCTTTTGACAACCAGCTGATGTTCTTTATGTACACTTTTTCCATTCCTTCTCTAGCTCAATAAGTATCGAGGTGACACATTCACTTGAGGGTAATGTCATATTGTTGTTTCCTCGCTCTCGTCTATCTCCTTCAGGGTTTGACAATGGATATTCCTGGAGTAACTTTGGACAGCGTGCGGTATGTGATGCGTGCACTGAAACTCAATTTATCCGAACAACAGGCCAGTCAGCATTTCACCGAGTGAGTTTCTGGTTTTCTGTCCTCTGTTCCATGTTGGGGAATCAATGTGTGTGTGATCATGCCTGATCACGACTGATCAATCCTCTGTCAGTTACATATAATTGCCGTTCCCTCTGTAAGTTTCTGCTCACTTGCATAGTTGACCTTAAGGCTTGAAGAATCGGGAATTTTGAATTTTGTGAATTTTGTCAATGAAACATTCGTTTCATTTTCCGCTACATCTACATATTTGTTTCCGGAACCGCATACACACTGTCTATGTGAATTAGTTGTTGTACAAAGATTTGATTTCTCGTATCCTAAAATTTACGTGCACACCGACGCATGTAAGCAAACTGAATAATCAAGCCAGTTATGTTTTCTCCACTCATCGGTTGTTTGTGGAAGAGAGCAGGCAAACAGACGGACATGGAAATAAAATCAGACGAATGTTTAGCTTTATACGCTCTGCATGCTATTGAATTGCTCTATACCTGTAAGGTTTTCCCTTCATTTATCCATATATTTTAAGCTGGTCACCAAGCCTCACTACTCTGGAGTTGCTTTATTTTTTCAGACTGAGATTGAGGAAATTTAAATGATTTATTACTGTGATAGCTGAATGTTTTCAATAACTGGCCTTTTGTCCCATATGCACATTGCATAAATCCTTTTAATCGTCTAACGACTCATAAGTAGCTGAAATACCTTTATATATATGGTATCGTAGCCCGTTTGATAACTTGTACCGTTGTACTGGTTTTGCACGCTTAATAAAGCGTTTTTTGTGGTTTCATTTATTCCTTGTGATTTCTGGTTCGTTTCCGTATAATGCTACTTATACGCATTGAATGCAACTAGATGTTCATCTGTACTTCGTTCTACCTTATTCTCTCATCCAGATTAATTCGAAAAACTCTTCAATCGAAATTGCCAGCACTCAATTTTTTTGTTCACGGTTTGGCTCAAGTCAAGCAGGCTTCCAGTGGTGGTGGCGTTTCGGGCACTGGACCTGGTAGCCCCAATGTCCAGACGCATTCTCCACGCAGTTCCATGTCTCGGATGGAGAACCGAACTATGGATATGTCTCCGGATAGGATGAATCCCAGCTCCAACATTGCGGGAAGCCGAACAGCACCTCACAATAACACCGGTCAATTGTTATCGTTTAATCCAAAACGTTTCAGGTGAGATTATTTTCAGGTACTCAATGTGAGAGTTTTTTACTGCCTGTCATGGTATAAAATTTTCGGGAGCACTGCGCAATGTGGGAGTAGATCGTGAAATCACCCTCGTGATACTGGGCTAAACTTTTGATAACCGTATTTAGCAGCTGACTACTTTAGTGCTTGTCGGTAGTCATTGTGGATAAAGCTTTTCGCTGTTGCCACACACCTTACCGGTCAAGGTTGCCATGGCCCATTTGGCTGTGTTATTCCAGCAAAATCCTCGACGGAAAGTTCCCATCCACTCTGAGTGTTCGA